GGAGCTGCTCTTTGAAACTAAAGCACAGGTAGATTTTTACCTGAGATAAATATCGCCAGCCATTTAACCCTCTAATTAAGAGGTAAAGGAAGTTCCAGTTAGATGGATGATTAAGATGGGACTTGTAAAGGTAACGGGCATCGTTTACCTCAGTTTAAGAAAAGTATCCAAGACGGAGTGTCAGCGGTTTAATAAAATTAATTGAATTTCACAAATAACATGGCCCTCATATGCAATAATCCACAGTACCCTTTACTCATTCAAATGCAGTGTTTTATACAACTTGGGATAACCATAATTAAATGCTCGTTAAAGAATTGACTAGACGGGAATGGTTTTACACAGCTTCATGAGGATTTAGATCCCTCGGGTAAGAGATTTGAATGAGTATTAACTTTTATCAGAAGCCAGAGAAGTCATCTTACAGGTAGACAATGCAGCTCAGTTTGACAGCTAAGCACGCTCTGTTCTCCAGTGGCTCGATTGTCGTCATCGGACCACGTGACCACGTAGCTCATTAACTCCCAGGCCGAGCAAATAGGACGTTTTTTAAAGCCAAAAATTTACAAAATGAGCTTTTAATTTGTGTATTTGGATAAAGATATCGTTAGTTGGGCATGTTTTCTGAAGAATATGTTCCGTTCAGGCCATTCTGACGGCAAGACGCAAATCCTTGAAGGAGCAAGTGCCCTTAATTTTGCGTGTTGAGTAAGGCGCACACCCTCACAACTAACGAACAAAGTCGAGAGCACACCGGGAATGCGTCACGTGCGTCACCCCTGGTGTATAAAAGGCGTGCTCACGACGCACGCTCGTGTCTTCACAATGAACGACGACCATGGAACGTGTACTGCAATTTTCAAAATTTACAAATTTTTTGCTCAATTAAGTTTCTAATATGCCTCCAAAAGGCAAGAAAAAGAAGCTTACATAGTAGAAAAAAGGGGGGAGGAAGAAGAAAGAAGAGGAGAACAGGAAGCAAAACGTCAGTACGTCACCACAAACGTGTGAGGCAAGTGTGAAGCAAAACTGACGCAAAAGGGCACTACTTTCGCCGTGTAGTGCGTTGCATTCCCTTCGTGAGTGGTGAGTGTGTGCCACGTACACAGGAAGCAAGACAAACTCAAGAAATGAGTACAATTTCCACGGCCATTGCTCCTTGCAATTAGCGTCCCTGCTTGAAAGGACATCTTATGTGGCCCTTGCGACACGCAAGGCAGACTGTCCTCTACCTCTACGACCTCCACGGCCTCCGCAACACCCAAAAATCGCAGGGGACGTACGATCTGAAATTCGTGCGTCCAGTTGTGACCGAGGCTTTAAAGAAAGGTCCCACGAAAGGCGTGCGACAACTACATCAGATACTGAAAAGACTCGAGCTCCGCACGCTCACTTTTCAGTCGAAAACACGGAGAAATGGCCCGGCACCCAAACGAAATGTAAACATACTCGCCGTAGCCAGAATAACGATTTTTCTTAAAGTGCGTGGACAGACACGTTGTGTCTGGACATACTAGTAGAACCATCTGCTTCTGTCGTCGTCGTTAGGGTTGCCGTCCCTTGCGTCACGCACTTCCCTTGTAGGCCTAAACATCATAAAAGAGAAAACATTTTACATATCATCCTCATACTTACAGGAATGATTTATGGGATTGGGTACAGATTGAACTCGGAAATCGGCCTAATTGAATATCTTTCTTGAAGCTATGCAGTTTTTTTTTTGTGATTTTTTCATTTTTCTTACATTATCGTCTTTGAAGTAGCCTTGCTTGTAGCCATTCCAAAAAAAAAAAAAATAATAATAATGCTTTAATGGTCATAATACATGCAGTTTTTACAGGAACGTGAAATGTGAGAATCTTATATGTATATAGAAGCTATCCAAATAACTCTCAGAGATTTTTACAAGATTTTTAATTTTAGAACAAAAAGTCACACCACATAATTAATGATAGGCCTATTGGTCACCTGGAACTCACATCTCTAAATGTCAGGTTGACCTCAAATATTCTCATTATGGGCAATAACATTCATTGTAACATACATGTATATCAACACATGTGGCATGGGAAATCTTTTTCATTTTTATTTTATATGCAGAATTTATTGGCCATAGTCTCATGAATTATTTTAATGAAGGACACTGTTAAAGCTAACACATACAGAGAGTATTAAACCTTTTTTTATAGCAACAAAAACTGAATTACCCTAAAAATTCAACACTTAACCCTTAATCACTAATGCTTAACTCTACATGTAAGTTTCTAGTTTTTGAACCACCCATAATAAAGACAGGTGTATTTCAATGGTGAACTAACTTCTAAATATGGCTTACCATGAGAGAGAAAGAGAGAGAGCAATTTTCTTAATAAAGAATTAGGGACAAATATTCAAAGAGCCGTAAAAATGGAAAATATTAGCCAAAAACTTTCAATTACATCATCAGTCCAATATTTAGTGATGACAGTTTTATCAGAAATTGAGTTTATGTATATAAGATAAAGTATTATGTGCTTATTATATAATAATCAATATATATGATCAGTTAAAATTGAATTTGTGTATATAAGATATGGTATTATACACGTATGCTTACAATATAATAATCAATAGTCAGTTAATTTTGGACTCAAATGCAAACCACTATCTTATTTGATATGAAACCAAGCTTTGAATTTTTTTACTGATTAAAAAACCCTGCCAATCAGTGTCAGAATGAAGCATCACATATTCATCAGAAAAATGTGTTGAAATTTTTTGTTTTTTTGCAGGAAACGAATATAATATTCCACTTGCATCAAATCAGCACTAAAAGAAATTGACATAGAAGCCAAGAGCTCTCATTAATTTGTCCAAACATCCACCATTTAATTGAATATAATCAAATGTTGAGGATAAGCCTGAGTATCAGAGAATACAACAAACATGGTGGGTGTATTGCCATTGTCCACCACACTGTCAAAAAGGATCATTTTGTCATTGGGGTCTTTCTGTGGTGGCACAATAAGACCATGTCTTCCCATGGTGTACTCTCCTGTCAAAACTAGGCATTGGTACATATACTTGTTCCCCGTACTGTCTGGTTTGGAATAGGTGTTACTGGCAGAGTAGGCAGAATTGACAGCAAAATACACACCGTTACCATAAGCAGTGGCTGTAACATCACAAACATAAACATGAAATGAAATGCATTATATTTTAATCAGATCTGTAGTTATATTTAGTTCTCCTTATTAAATTCAGCAGTGCAAATGATACATATATCCTGCAACAGAGAAGTCAAATGATGTAATAAAAAGAAAAAAATTTGAAATATTTGAAAAGAAAGAAAATAAGATTCCATTTCTTTGTAGCAAACTGCAAAATTAATGTCACAGGAGATTTTTCAATGGACCATTGGCCATCTTCATAAATTTTTCAGTTTGTGGCAAAAGAGCATTATTACTACCATCATTCACCAAACAAATTAATATTCCATTGTGAATAGATAAATAATTTCAGAAGGACTCACCATTCTTGCCACAGTAGCTTCTATTGAAGCCATATCTGTTTATACTGTCTAATGTGTCTGAACTGGTCCCATGCCACAACATACGCTCGTTAACTGTCCCAGGTGGGTTAACCTTCTCCATGTGTTTCTTACGTACTATGTACTGTTGAAATAAATTGGGGTTCTGGATACGCTGAATCTGAAATTACACACAGATTGAGGCTTAACTCTTTGTAACATTTAAAATAAAGTCCGTTTTTCAAACCCTTTAAAATAATTTAACATTTTCAAGATGCTTACATAACCTTTCACCATTAAAACATAGATACAGATGTAACTCTGATTTAACAGAATATATTTAACAAGGTAAGAAATACTAGTATACAGAATTAGGCCATTCAGTTAAACAATTCTTTGGAAAAGCAGACAAAATGTTTATTTGCACCTTTACAATCTGGTTTATCTTAGCCATGCCAACCGTTTTGCGAAATTCTGTCTCAGTTTCTTGATATTCCCGTTGACTTGGTTGTAAATCTACAATCTCACACAGTTTGTTTGGACCATAGGTCACATGTTGCCAATGTGATGGAAGTTCAAAACTATCAACTGTAATAGAATTCGAATCATGAAACTTAATAATTCACTTAAACAATTCCAAATAGAAATTTAAAATACATTTGGTTTTTCATTTGAACGAGCGAGAAAATGTTTAAGCCAACTATTTACTTGCATTATCACAAAACTTCAAATTTTGCTCAAATATTTCATATGCAAAATGCCTTCTGACATTAATTATTAAAAGCTGTCTAAATAAACATCCTTGAAAATAATATAATTGAAGACCATGGAATTTCCACAATGTGTTACATCACATGTTTGCGATACCAGAAACTAATTTTAAACAATTACGTTTTGTGAGATCAACTCTCTTTACAGGGCATGGAGCTGCAGATGATGAAGGATAGGTCTTCTCCATTTTAGCAAATGTTATCCTGCATGGGCCATCACTATCCAAGAAGTCGTAATAAGGTTTCTTGTCACTGTATGCTTGCTCAATGGCAAGATTTTCCATTGGGGAATATTTGCAAAATTCCTCTCTGCCATCACCACTTATCTGCAGACGAGACCACTGCACTGACCTAGCCATAACTTCAGCCCTTAACTCCTTTTGAACATGATCTCTCACATCTTGAAAGATCCCTTCAATAACCTGTGTAACTGCATAGATATCTTCTGTAGTGCCCCGGACATGGATGCGCTTTACCCAGGGTTTTATTTCAACCATTATATGCACAGGATAATACTGGTTCAATTCTTGAATTTGTTTGACCTGAATTATTCAAAATATCCATGCATATTTACTATAATGTCCCTTTTTGCATTGCCAATAAAAATAGTTAATTCAAAGGGAAGCATGAGAACAATTTTTTAAGTTCACTCTTAAATTTCTTTTTATAAATGCGACATAAAATTTAAATTGAAATCGAAATGTTTTAATCTGATACATGTTAAAAGGGCATCCATAGGGAAGCTTTATTAATGAAATTTAGTTTTCATAAAAACAAAAAAATTAACAATGTCTAAGACCCTGCATTTGGGTCTGATTGCCAAATTTGGAAAAAAAAATTCATGAAATCAAAAAGATAATTTACCTGCTTGTCAGATAATTTTGTTATCATATCAGCATCATCAAAAAGTTTCTCCTTGCACTGTGACTCACATAATTCATCTATCTTTTTCTGTGCAAGATTAATACTCTCTTTGTTGTCAGAAAAAATGGTAAGAAATATGGACATGGGTTCTGTCAGTTTAGTTCTTTTCTCCTTCTTCTTTGGTTCTGCTTTTGCTCCAATACCAGTAAGGCTTGCTTTTGCTCCAATACCAGTAAGGCTTGCTTTTGCTCCAATACCAGTAAGGCTGGTGAGAATACCTGCATAAAAATTAATTATAAATTTTATATGTAATTCAATGTACTGTTCCTTTTAATACTTTTATAGCTTAATTGAAATGTAGAAGTTAAAAATTAACATTGTGTTAAACTTAAATTTACTACTAGGACTCCATATGGATAGCGAGTCCAAGTTTAAATTACTATAAGTTTAACAGATCCTTTTATCTTTGTATTAGATACATTAACTGTCAACTAAAAAAATGCAACATTTGCTGTTATTCACCATATTGATTATACATTATACCTGCTCCAGCATCAATCGCATGTTTTATGTATCCTTTCTTTTCTTTCTTTTTCATTCTTTTACTAAGCTCATCATGGAAGTCTTTCACCATGTTTGACTGAAATATGGTGATACGAATCATTCGCAGATGCTGAGGGTTGCACTGCTTACTAAATTCTTCAATGGTATCAAACATTACTGTAGCTGTTTCCCTAGGTGAAGAGCTCAGTTCCCCTGCAAATTAAGATTTGTAATACAATTTGGGCACTGTGGTACATATTTTGAATTTCAAAAAGATATACATGTAATGAACAATGTAAAGCTGTCAAATAAGCAGATATAAACAAGTGAATGACAAAACTGACAGAATCAGTGATATTAAAACTAAAATATAAACAACCAATTTATGGATACAAAGTGTGTTATTATGTCTCCTTCATCCTATTTATGAAACCATTGTCCATACTAAGTAAGCAAACAACAGCGTATTGGTGTTATCAAGATTCTTCTCATTTAATTGTTTATAAAGATGATAATTTATATTATTTCGACAACTTTTACCTGTTCCTAAAGCAGGAAAGCATATGGAAGAAAGTTTCATTTCTTCTGCTTTCTTTAGACAGTTTAAGACGGGTTTCTTCCATGCTGATCCAAAGAGACTTTTTACATGTGGTGCAACAAGATGGATGATATGTTTACAGGGAAGTTGTCCAGCTCCTGTGGCTGCAACACCACTAGCACTCTTCATTAATTTACCTGGAGGATAGATACTTATGTAAAATTATGATATCACATTCAAATAAATACAACATTGCATAAAATGTTAAACTAGCAAAAATGAATATAATATATGAACTACAGGCCCGTAGCCAGGGGGGGTTGGGGGGGGGTCAAAAGAAACGCCCTTTTTGTCAGGAAAAGGTCCTTTCTGGGTAAAATTTGATCTAGGTACACAAAGGTTTCTTTGGAAAAGGTCCACTTATTCAGAAAAAGAACCCCTCCTTTTGAAATTACTGGCTACGGGCCTGAACTATATGAATTATACTTTGAATTTTTAAATTACTCATTTCTCTCCATTTTATCACACCAAGTACCCTAAGCTTCATGTCTGATAACTTAATATATCATTTTTAAGCCATTTCCAAGTCTCTCTATATGTATATACAGGTATCAGGACAATTACCCCCAGGCAATTCCCCCCTGGACTATTCCCCCCAGACAATCCCCCCCCCCCCCCCAAACAACATATATTTTATATACAAATATAAAGTAAAGAGTACAAAGTTCAAATATTTTCATCCATTTTCTGAATATTTCTCAGTGTGCCTGGGGGGAATAGTCCGGGGGGGGGGGGGGGATTGTCCTAGAATCGTATATACAATAAACCAGTTTGTAACCTAGTGATAGGCTTGCATTGAAAATCATCTCGTGTCAGTCCTTCTCCGAAAACCATTTGATTCTTAGATCCCCAGTGGCACAGCAAATGCAATTTCCCATTTTCTGGCTTACCACTGTGCTCATGCCATGGCTTGGCTTTGAAGAAAAGGCAGATTATATTTGCTGCCTATAGTGAGCTTAGGTCAATCAAGCAGGCCATATGAAAGTATCACCTCATAATTATTGTACCTTAAAGGGATAATAACTCTTCGTATGAGATCTATATTTCACAATAAAAACATTGTGAACAACGCATAGAAATATGATAGATTCTGTTGTACCACAAAAACGTCAGTTATAGCTTTTATTCTGATATCTGAGCTTGTCTTTAGACCACATGACCTCCATTGATGGCTATACTCTGTTATAATCTCTTAAGAGATTATAATGAAAAAAAGAACTTTTTAGAAAAAAACCAGGGACTAACTTTGAATGTAAAAATGGATTCATTAACCATTGGTAAGTATGGGAAAATTGTTGTTTACTCCAGGAAAATTCATTTTTTGGCCAAAACGAAGAGTTATTATCCCTTTAACCTTATATAGTCCATATAGACATATTCTGGTTTGAGCTTAAAATCTTTATAATATATTTGGATTGTGGCATAAATGTGCATCATACTTTGATGTTTGCATTCATCTAAGATGTCCTGTCCAGCCTTAGCTAGAATTGCCTTAGAAACAGCTCCTGAAATGTCATAAAATATTCAACTTAAACTTATACGTTGTAGATGAAATTATCAGTGCTCAAACAACACATTTGCTTAATTATTACATTTAAAGTGGTATACAAAGGCCTACTATAACAATGGTTTAATCTGTTGACTTGAAATGCATTTTTGGTCAATGTCCTAGTGAATACAAATAATTTACAACTCAATTCTTCATCCCTTGAGATGAGTTTGCCATCATCATTATCTTGTTATTCACCTGTACATCATACCTTTACTGAGATCCAGCTCTGCATTGGTACTGTTCACTATGGCATCTGTGGTCTCTTGGGTTAGATCTCCCTGCTGAACTTGGAGGCTAAGTTTGCCAACCATTGCCATCCTCTGATTTGGTTCACTGCCTGCAACTATGGATCTGTATGAACCAGCTGAAAATAACATATCTATATGTAACATTTGGATGTAACAGTTTTCACATCAAACTAATAAACAAGTAAGGAAGTTTTTTTTGATATTTTAATGTTTCTAAATCAAAGACATTGTCCACATGTAGTTCAATCCAGTTATCAAACTTATCAGTGTACTAGTATGTTATGGGCCATATACAGTACATGTATGTACATATCAATAATACATATGTTTTTATGCAATGCTCCAAATAAAACCTTGAGTGTTAAGGTCAAGTTTGTGATAAATATATGTTATTTATATTACATACCAGTATCATCATCCTCTATATCTACATCATATTCCACTGAATTCATTGCATGAAATCCTGGTTTCTTCTTAGTTGGACTTGTGGTTACATTCCTTATCTCTGCCTCAAATGCCTAAAATTAGTGACGTACCAATAAAAACGTTTTTTCACTTATGCACAAGTACATGTTACTACCAGTACATGTAGACAGCAATATAGGGGTAAATATACAAGAACCATTGTTTAAAGGTGTGAGATTAATGGTCTGGTGGCTAATGGTGCATTTCTACAAGAAAAAATATCACTTAACTGTGAACATTTTACACAATAGAAATATCTCATTTTGATCTCATATTTACAATTTAGAGAACTGAGCTATTGTATCACCATCCAATTAACTGAATACAAAATTAAAACTCACTGCAATATTTGCATCATCTTTGTCATATACAACAAAACGTATATCCTTAAGTTTTGTAGTTGGGTTACGTGTTCCAAACTCTGCCACTGCTTGGTACATATCTCTGGCCACAACATCCTTAGGAAACCCCAGGTTTCCAGTTCCTACAGCAGGGAGGGAAATAGAAGAAAATCCTGCCTTGGTCGCAGTTTCCAAACAGGTATGAACAAGCTTAAGCAAAATCTGTAAAGAAAAATATTGCAATGATTTGCAATTGAAATCGGTCAGAGTTAAGTAACTGCTGCTGTTTTTGTTTAATGTTTCTTATTCACCATCATTTAATTATTTAATCATTAGATAGATAGATAGATAGATAGATAGATAGATATTACAGTTTTACAATTGTAATTCTTAACAGCACAGTAATTGAATTTTATTTCACGCATGAAATCATGAGATGTAAAGGCTTTGACAATGCATGGTTCTACAGCTCAGAAAAATATATTGACATCACGTATACTTCAGATGAGTTAAGTCATTTTATTTGATGGTTTATAAAAATCACATTTCAAGTACAAATTGGAAAATACATAAAACTTTGTAGGACACTTGGACATAAAAATACAATTTCAACAAATATTCAAATGTGTATTCTAGTGTAAAGAATATCTTCGACGCCAAGATCAGATCAACACCAGACAACTTAACAATACCTTCTCTGCTCCAGTAGATTTCCAGTTCTCACATGATCCATGGTAGACTGCTTTACATCTAAGCTTCCCTCCATCCGTCTGAACAATATCGCCAAATTCATTGCCATTAGGTGCTTTTTGTTTGCACTGATCTTGAAGCACACGGCCCCCAGCGGTTAGCAGTGATTTTGATACAGCACCATTATTCAAATCAAGGTCTTTCCCAACAGTGTTCACAATAACATCAACCTGATGATTAAAAATTGTATATATTTTCTTTTGCTTTCAGAAATGCCAGTCCTAGTTCAAGGGCAGGTAGGGGTGGGATAGTTGCATTAGTGTTGACAGTTTGATCCTCTCAATTTCAATCATTTTTCTAACAGCTAGAGAATACTGACAACAACCCTCGTAGAATGTATGATTTATCCAAGCTGGCTAAAGGTTCTGTAAAATATTTGATCTGCAACTTACTTCAACTCAAGCAATTTTACATTCTATATATATTCGTAATCCTAATTCTCAATGTTGAGGTAACAACCAAATATGTTAAAGATTTATGTACAAATTTATCCAAAATACTGCAAATTTTTGTCTACTTGAGTGAATCTCTCAAACATGCTGCCATTGTGGTTGTTTAATATTGTCTTACCTGTTCATCTGCAATAGCCCCTTTTACCAAGGTCACCTGCAAGCCCTGACTTGTCTTCACCACTCCTGCCTTCCCTGTCTGGTAATACAATGGATCAGAATCCGACACTATGATGCTTTCTTCTAACTCTGCATTATTTAAAAAAAAGAACTGGTAATATAAACTTATTCCAGAGTAAAAAGAGGTAAACAGGAACTGTGATATTTTATGAAAAATAAATATCAATATATATCAAACAATGTTGTAAGTCAGATAAACCTTTAAGACAGACAATGAAGAAAGTGATCTACACAGAATTATATATATATTCTACAGACTAAGAACTTTTAAGAAAAAAATATTCACCACTGAAATCTTCATCTCTTAGAACTTCTCCTGGATCTGTGTATCCTACCGCACCAACTAAATCATCAACATCGTCATCTTCTTCATCCTCATCTTCATCTTGAGGTGTACCTGGTGTTCTAATCACTCTGATCAGAGCTCTTTTCAATGCATCAATAGTGCTGTCCTCCATAGCCACCAGGTGAATATCTGTCAGTGAACCATGCCTGGTGTCCCTAGAGAAGTCTTTGATTGCTTCACAAATTATTCGCCCACATTTATGAAGAGGGAAATTATACACCCCAGAACTAAGTGCTGGTAAAGCGATAGACTTAAACCGAAGTGTAGTCGCCTCCTCAAGGCAGCCCAAAACTGCTTCATATAAAAGATTTTCTTCGTTTTTGTTGCCTCCTTGCCAAAATGGTCCAACTGCATGAATGACCTTTCTACAATTTTTAAGTTTTCCTGCAGTAGATGTGAAAACCTGGCCATCCAAAAGGGCTCCATTCTTCCTGGTGTACATTTCACACTCTTTCTGGATTTCTTTTCCACCTATAAACAAATATAAAGAATTCCTGAATTCAACTTTAAGTGTAAAATATATATTAGTTTTTATTTTACATATTATTAGGATTTAAGCAAATTATTCAACAAAAAATAAATTAACAAATAAAGACAATGATTTCATACTCAATGTGGTCATTAGGGTGAAAAAGCTATATTAGATTAAGTTGATACATGTACATATCCCATTTTCTCTACCTTAAAATAACATTGCTACAGGGTTTTTTATACACTTTTATCAGGTTTGAAAATTTTAAGATTGGGTCCTAACCTTTATCTAGTATAGCTTTCGCCAGGCCTCCTTTGTGTTGAAGATTTCTATTGGCAGCATTAACAATGGCATCAGCTTTGTGCTTTGTAAGATCATCTTGGTAAATTGCCACATTACATCCTTCAACTGTCTTGGCCTCGGCAATCAAGGTGGACTTTGTTATTGGATTTCTGGCATCTTCTTCCTCTACTGTTTTTGTTTTTTCACTAGATGCAACTGGCTGAGGTAACTCAACAGTGCAGTTACCTTTGTTCTCTAGATGGTCTAGAAACTCTCGTCCTCGTTGTGAAATTATATATTTGCGCATGCCAGGTGTGTTTACTTCTTTCACTGTGGAATCAACTTTCTTGGCAAGATCAACTACTCTTTGTTCAGCAGCAATCAAACCATCTTCAGTGCCTGTTATAAGGAACCCTGGGTCTGCTGGACTTTCACTAAACTTAACTTTGACTTGATTTCCAACCAATTCACTTTCAATGTTTCTGAGTTCCTGCTTCTTATGCATTCGAAGAAAACGTACCTTTCCATTCTCCATGCGAAGATATTTCCTATGGATGGTGTTAGCTCTCAGAAAATCCTGAATTATCTCCAAGAAATATCCCATTAAATCTTTTGTGGAAACAACAGTGACTGCACTCATGTCATCTTCGGGGAAAATTTTGAAAAGTCCTGCATGTTGTCTTTCCTGTTCAGTAATGACATCTTTCCATGCTGGAGAACCCACGATGGATCTTGATTCAGCAGCTATGGGGAGAGGCGTTTCCACAAGACTAGCTCTTATGATGGCTTTGGCACGTGCCACATCATCCTGAGTGGCAGCATACACTGTAATGTCTCTCTCACCTGCTTTCCAGACTGCCAAAAGTTGTTTCTCTTGAAACAGTCCCACAAGGTGTGCATGGCATGCTTTGGTTGGAATGAGCTCAAGAATATATTTTGACACTGAGAATGCCTCACGTTGTAATGAATTGTTGATCTCATAAATGGCTATCTTGGCTTGATTTATGTCATCTGGAATCCCAGTCAGCACCACTGCTCCATGATCCAGGTCAATTCTTATCTTCAGATTTGGAAACTTGCTTTTTGCAGTGTCAATATATTTAATTGCCAAAAGGTAGCGTAGTTCATGTGACATAAAATTCTTCTTTTCTGTAATGGTTGCAGCTTCACGTTTGATTTCATCATCTACCTGGGCATTAATGCTATGGACATCTTTTGCCACTCTTTGAGCTGTCACTGCTTCCCCAAAAACTCTCAACATGTGGTCCTTCTCTTCTATCTGTAGTACAAAGTCATCATTTGATGGCTGGGAGATATTTTTCAACCGTTCAAGTACCCTGTCCCAGGCAGCTTGAAGGATGGCAAACTCGCTGTAATAGAAATCTTCTACAAAACATTTTTGCACTGTACTTTCTACATTTGCTCTCCAAGCCTTGGCCAATTTTTGGTAATCTGGCATGCTGCGGGTAATGGTACAAACCACAGTGAGAGTGTCCGACTCTTTGCTTGGCCAATGAACTCTGGCATGTATTTTTTCAAACTGCTCATCCACAAGTTGTTTGTGTCGTGGAATGTTGGAGATGAAGTGGATGACTGTCATATTTAAGCCATGAGGACTCACTGGTGTAGGCAGGGGGAAATATGGCTTGGAGCGGTCATGGTCTCCAGGGAGAACACCAAGGCACTTGTAGAAAATGGCTGTCCTGCAAACCTTGTCGTTCAGAACTTGTTGTTTTTTGAGGACCTTCTCCACTACTGAAACCATAGAACCCAGGATATTTGTCAAAATATCAATATTAGTTTTAATAAGAAATATGATAAAAATCATTTGATGCATACCATTATAAAAAAGCACATACTAATGAAATTAATAACACCAAAAGCATCAAGTGCACCTACCCTCAATGTCTCCAAATGTAACTACTGCTGTGTTCATGTCTTGGTAAAGTTGAACTGCTTCAACAGGTCCCCCATTACTGCGTGTCTGGTTTCCAAAATGGGCTTCTAAGAAATCTCTGCTGACATTTGGGGCCAAATCAAACACTTGGATGCTGTTGGACTGCGACACTTTTTCCACAGTTAGGTGCACACCTTCTATGGTCCTGTCATCACATGCAGTTTTTAATACCTCAAAATCTGAAGCAAATAAAAGATTTTTTTCACAAAGAAAATAAAGTTTAAAAGTGAAAACCTATTATCCATAATGAGAAGAATATATTCCTAAATACTGTATATTATAGCAAACCATAAAAAATAACATTGTTCAATAAGTTTAAACTTCACACAAAGTAGCTAGAGTAATTCAAGCATGCCAAATTTACTATTAAATAAATTAAGCTGCCAGTCGTTGATCATTCTCAAGCCTCAAACAATAATTGCCATTTGTAATCTCAAGCCATGGAATAACCAAATTAACAAATCAAACCATAATTTCACATAAAAGAGCATTCGAAAGAACACCCTTTTTTGCTGGAAAAAGGTCCCCTTTAGGTAAAATTTTATCCAATTCACACTTGCATTGATAAACCAGTGGCTGGAAATCACAAATGGCTTTTTCATCTACAAGGCCTGATTTTTCTATTGAATTATAATACCATCTTTCTTATATGATGCAGAAGAGAAATGTACCTGGAATGTCTTGAAATGTTACCAGCACTGTTCCCATTTCACTACCATATGCAATGCTCTCTATATCACAGTTTGTTTTTGCTTCAAGAAAATTTTCTAAAAGTTCATTTGTTATGGTCTCTGTCAGTCCCTTGATGAATATCCTGTGCTTATCAATGGGGGGTGGAGGTGTAGAGAGAATGGCATGAAGTCTACAGCCTTCCAACTGAAGTCCAACCTCTGACTCTGATTTCTGCAACACCCGATTCACAGCTAAAAGGATGGATGATATGAATGGATAAGAAGGGTTTAAAAATTTTGTCCAGCTTGCTTGATTCATACATTAATCTTTAATATTGCACTGAGTTTATAAATGTCATTTAATTATCACAACCTTAGTTGCAATTAACTAGTACAAATGACCTTAATTCATGACAATAAATCAATTTTCATAACAATTATTAATCAAAGGAAAATCCATGCCATACTGGGTGTGGTAGTACTAGTACTGTTGTAAATTTAAGTCAACAAACAAAAACAATGATTACAAGTCGGTCAAAATCACCTTCTGGCTCTTTAAATGTCACCACTGCTTCTCTAGCTTCATTGTTCACTTCCACATTAAGCACATTCCCTCCCCCAGACCTTTTTCGATTTTCAAAAAACATCTGAATGGTGACCTTGCTGGTGGACTTTTTTAATCCTTTGACTCGAATGGTGCTAGAACATGCTTTTGTCTGCACAAGTCTTTCTTTTAAGATGTTTTCATTCTCTAACAGAACAAAGAAAAGACCAATTAAAATCTGTTTAAATGAAGTTCAAAACTGAAGACACTTTTTTTTATCTTCACTATATTTATCAATATCTAGCATAATTCTCCAATTTTTTCTTCTCTTTCTAGTTAATAGTAAAGAAAAGATGCTAGCTTTTCATACATTTCATATAAAAACTTCATGCATTAAGTTATGATGTAGTCCACTTTTTCAAGTCACATTCTATATTTAACAAACAATAATTAAATTGATGGAATTACCCTCTGGCTCTTCTGTTGGTTGGCCTTCAGTGTGTAAACATATCTCCAAGTCTTGGCCTTCCCATATAATTTTTTTAGATTGGTTGTGCATTACCACACTTTCAGCAACTGAAAATATTAAAATAAAAATGTTAATAAGCAAATTAGATGTGCAAAAATAAACAAATGACCTATTTTCAAAGTTTTACTGATAGCAATATCTTCAATTTATAACATCCAAAACTGAAAGAGGTTAAATAAATAAAAATTACCTGCTGCATCTTCAAATGTGATGAGAATGAAATCCTGCTTGTGCTCTATCAGCTCAACTTTCCCCCCACCTGTTCTTTTCTTGTTTTCAAACAGCATTTCCAGAGTTTCATTAGAGGTTCCCTTCTTTATCCCTCGTACCTCTATAGTTCTTGAAGGCACTGGGAGACTAACTGACAGTGATGCACCTTCTAAACTAAGTCCTTTCCTGTCAAGTACCTGCCTGGCCACTGCATACATTATAATATGTACACTTTAATAAGTAACAAGCAGTAAATGTGTGTGATTACAGTGTGTGACAAAAAGCTAAATATCACATTTATTCAAATGCTTATTTTTTGAAATACAAAGTTATCCACCATAATTGCTATTTAAAAGGGAAATAAAAAATCATAAATAACCATTGAATAAGATAATTCCTAATTATATTGATTGACAGGATACATTGTGTAATGAATTATCTATCTATCTATCTATCTATCTATCTATCTATCTATTCTTTTTCTTTTAAACTCACCATTAGGATCACTGAAAGTGATAGTCACCACACCTGTTGTTGGGGAGCGGGTTATTTCTTTTATTTCACCTCCACCTGATTTTTTGGAATTTTCAAAAAATAGACTTATCATCTCATCTGAAGTAGAACTTTTCACTCCTCTGACTTCTACAGTGGTGAAACTGTCTTCCTCTGGGCTGATTTCTTCATGTTGTATATCTGGCTGTGGTCTACTAATCAAGACATCTTCACCATCAACACTAAGCACTTCTCGCGACAGCACTCTGGCAGCAACTATGAACAAACAATGTTTGAAAGTTGATAGTCAACACCATATTATGAATTTCACCAATGACTGAAAACTCACTTTGATTAATAATAATAAAATAATGTTCATCCTCTCATTACTAAGTAGTAATTTTGGCTTGACATCAAATAATAATTTTGTATAAAGAAAGAAGTCCTGAAGTAAATAACAATTATCCGGTTTAATACTAATAGGGTGAATGCTATGAGCAACAGAAAGAATCTGAAACAAATTTTTATCTAATTATCAGGATTTTTAATCAACATTTTGAATGTTATCTTGCTATTTTAAATTTTATTGAAAAGAAAATAATCTCAATTTTAGAAAAATATAACTATATTTATATTACATTGCTTAAGTTCTTGATTTACCCTGGTAATTAAACCAAATACAATTCATTTACAAATGTATAGTTATAAGTTATCTTTCTAATTCTTTATCACTGACAGTGAAATATACTTTAAGAAGAAAATAGATCTAAAAAAAAAATGATATTATGCACAGTTCTTACCTTCTGCATCCTTGTACACTATAGTCATAACTCCACTACTGGGATCCCTGGACAGAATCTCAATGTCTCCTCCACCTGTTCTTTTCTCATTCTCAAAGAGCATTTCTACCAGTTCTTCAGAAGTTTCCTTTCTTATGCCTTTCAAAATGACAGTGCGCTGAAAAGGGGAGTCTCTATCTTCTTGTAAATTTTGAGAAGTTTTTGATGGTCTCTGTACTTTCAGATCCATGTCTTGTAATCTGAAGCTGCCCTTTTCTAACACACTTCTTGCCACTGCAAATTATTACAACCAATGATCAAAACAGTATTTTTAAAAGGGGAATGCAATTTTTTTAATCACCTTTGAACAAAAATAATTCCTATAAACAAATTTATAGTGACTGACAGTATAGACTGTGTAATGAATTATTGTTACTATATAATATTAACTCACCATTAGGATCACTGAAAGTGATAGTCACCACACCTGTTGTTGGGGAGCGGGTTATTTCTTTTATTTCACCTCCACCTGATTTTTTGGAATTTTCAAAAAATAGACTTATCATCTCATCTGAAGTAGAACTTTTCACTCCTCTGACTTCTACAGTGGTGAAACTGTCTTCCTCTGGGCTGATTTCTTCATGTTGTATATCTGGCTGTGGTCTACTAATCAAGACATCTACACCATCAACACTAAGCACTTCTCGCGACAGCACTCTGGCAGCAACTATAACCAAACAACATTTTCAAAGTTGCTACTCAACATACATTATTAATGCCACTTATAACTAAAAACTCACTTCAACTAATAATTATAAAAAAAAATGTTCATCCTCTCATTACTAAGTAGTAATTTTGGCTTGACATCAAATAATAATTTTGCATAAATAAATGGAAGGCCAAAAAATCTTTGCAACCCCACAAATTCAAAAGTGTGCACTATTTCTTTGGGAATTATATTTTAAATGTAGATATTTCAGGCGCACACATTAACGCTAAATGTCTTTTGTCAACACTACTTAGCGTTTAGTATTCATCTGCTTCATTTCCTTTAGTATTGGGATTTTCAATAAATGTGGCCGTCATCAGCCAAATTTCGAACATCATGTCTTGTGTTTGTTACATGACTTTGCATGTCACTATATTCAAATTAGCCTAGATCAAGGATACATAAATAGCAATTATCTGGTTTAATACTAATAGGGTGAATGCTATGAGCAACAAAAAGAATCTGAAACAACTTTTTATCTAATTAATTATCAGGGTTTAAATCAACATTTTGAATGTTATCTTGCTATTTTAAATTTCATTGAAAAGAAAATAGTCTCAATTTTAGAAAGACACAACAACTATATTTATAGTACTTTGCATTAGTTCTTGGTTTACCCTGATAATTAATAAAATTCTAATACAATTCATTTACAGATGTATAGTAATAAGTTATCTTTGTATACAAATATAAGACTTTATCACTGACAGTGGAATATACTTTTAGATGAAAATAGGTCTTTAAAAAAAATATGAAATTTTGAAGAGTTCTTACCTTCTGCATCCTTGTACACTATAGTCATAACTCCACTACTGGGATCCCTGGACAGAATCTCAATGTCTCCTCCACCTGTTCTTTTCTCATTCTCAAAGAGCATTTCTACCAGTTCTTGAGAAGTTTCCTTTCTTATGCCTTTCAAAATGACAGTGCGCTGAAAAGGGGAGTCTCTATCTTCTTGTAAATTTTGAGAAGTTTTGGATGGTCTCTGTACTTTCAGATCCATGTCTTGTAATCTGAAGCTGCCCTTTTCTAACACACTTCTTGCCACTGCAAATTATTACAACCAATGATCAAAACAGTATTTTTAAAAGGGGAATGCAATTTTTTTAATCACCTTTGAACAAAAATAATTCCTATAAACAAATTTATAGTGACTGACAGTATAGACTGTGTAATGAATTATTGTAACTTTATAATATTAACTCACCATTAGGATCACTGAAAGTGATAGTCACCACACCTGTTGTTGGGGAGCGGGTTATTTCTTTTATTTCACCTCCACCTGATTTTTTGGAATTTTCAAAAAATAGACTTATCATCTCATCTGAAGTAGAACTTTTCACTCCTCTGACTTCTACAGTGGTGAAACTGTCTTCCTCTGGGCTGATTTCTTCATGTTGTATATCTGGCTGTGGTCTACTAATCAAGACATCTACACCATCAACACTAAGCACTTCTCGCGACAGCACTCTGGCAGCAACTATAACCAAACAACATTTTCAAAGTTGCTACTCAACATACATTATTAATGCCACTTATAACTAAAAACTCACTTCAACTAATAATTATAAAAAAAAAATGTTCATCCTCTCATTACTAAGTAGTAATTTTGGCTTGACATCAAATAATAATTTTGCATAAATATATGGAAGGCCAAAAAATCTTTGCAACCCCACAAATTCAAAAGTGTGCACTATTTCTTTGGGAATTATATTTTAAATGTAGATATTTCAGGCGCACACATTAACGCTAAATGTCTTTTGTCAACACTACTCAGCGTTTAGTATTCATCTGCTTCATTTCCTTTAGTATTGGGATTTTCAATAAATGTGGCCGTCATCAGCCAAATTTCGAACATCATGTCATGTGTTTGTTACATGACTTTGCATGTCGCTATATTCAAATTAGCCTAGATCAAGGAGACATAAATAGCAATTATCTGGTTTAATACTAATAGGGTGAATGCTATGAGCAACAAAAAGAATCTGAAACAACTTTTTATCTAATTATCAGGGTTTAAATCAACATTTTGAATGTTATCTTGCTATTTTAAATTTCATTGAAAAGAAAATAGTCTCAATTTTAGAAAGACACAACAACTATATTTATAGTACTTTGAATTAGTTCTTGGTTTACCCTGATAATTAATAAAATTCAAATACAATTCATTTACAGATGTACAGTAATAAGTTATCTTTGTATACAAATATAAGACTTTATCACTGACAGTGGAATATACTTTTAGATGAAAATAGGTCTTTAAAAAAAATATGAAATTTTGAAGAGTTCTTACCTTCTGCATCCTTGTACACTATAGTCATAACTCCACTACTGGGATCCCTGGACAGAATCTCAATGTCTCCTCCACCTGTTCTTTTCTCATTCTCAAAGAGCATTTCTACCAGTTCTTGAGAAGTTTCCTTTCTTATGCCTTTCAAAATGACAGTGCGCTGAAAAGGGGAGTCTCTATCTTCTTGTAAATTTTGAGAAGTTTTGGATGGTCTCTGTACTCTCAGATCCATGTTTTGTAATCTGAAGCTGCCCTTTTCTAACACACTTCTTGCCACTGCAAATTATTACAACAAATAACACAAAATTGCGAAAGTTTAAGATTTCGGTCAAGCATTTTATCAAAGAATTATAAGAAGCCACAACAATAAAATTAAAAGTCTTAGACCAAGCCTATGCCAGCCTTTTAAAAGGAAGTTTTATTTTTGAAAAAGTGGACTTTTTGCCAAGACACCTTTGTGTACCTAGATCAAATTTTGCCCAGAGTGGACCTTTTTCAGCAAATAGACTGGTTTATTTGACCCCCCTCCCCCCCTTGGCTACAGACCTATATGACCAAAAAAAGCATATGAATATTCCTGTTTGGATGTATGCATCAAAATACATAGTCTAAGACTGCTTTCCCACAGATTTAGATCAATCCATCTGATCGACCTACCTCCCTAGGGGTTCACGCTAAATTTCTGTCAGCTGAGCGCTCACAGAAGTTAATTACCCCCTTATAGCTTTTAGTAGGTGGGACAGGCATTTAGCCTGGCTAAGCTAACAGTAATCTAGTGAGACTCCCCACTGGGATAGATCAATCTAAAATCTGTGGGAATGCAGTCTAAGTTTAGCAATGAATGAAATGATCAAGGTTTAAATCTCTGATATTTGCAACTATCAGAAATTTTTAAATTTTAAAAAATCACATATCATACCTGCTGGATTCTCATATGTAATCAGAGCAACATTTCTGGAATGATCTCTTTTCAATTGCCTTATGTCTCCTCCACCAGATTTCTTTTCATTTTCAAAAAACATCTCCAATGCTATGTCAGAGGTCTCTCTCTTTATCCCATGGACTTCAACTGTAGCATCTTCTTCTTTCTCTTCCCTTGCCCTTGTAACTGACAACTGAGCTTCTTCCAACTGCAATATTCCTTTTCCCAAAACTTGTTCCACAACTGAAAACAAAGACATGAGAGTAAAAAAAATTGAGTTATTTTCTGGAAGAATATGTATATCATTTCTTTCTATAAAGTTGATTAAAAAACAGTAAATCAATATATATACAGACTTGACATTTAATATGGAATATTTTTTCCAAATCATAATTAATCAGTTTTTTTCCTATTTTGCTGACTGATAAATGAAAATAAGGATTAAAATCGTGTTTTAAAAACTTTTGATAATCTGTTCGATGTTATTGTGACATGAGTCCATTAATTGAATTCGCCAGTGAAGCAAACAAAAATACATTGCCTATTTTAAGTCATACGACACCCATTGAAAGCGATAGTTTCGATCTCCATATTTTCCAAATTATCGTCTTTAAAAGAGTTACACGCCCCACAAAGGCCCCTCATGTGGGTGTCTAGTCACAGCAATGGTCGCTGTTATGCCGGACCTCATCTTGCCGCTACCAGAGCTTTCAAGCGACAAGGCATTCCTTAGAATGGGTTTTAGAGTTTAATCTGGAATAAAATTCCAGGCAACGGTTAAGACTTGACCAGTTTGGTTCACTTTTGTTGTAGGACATACAGGCCGTTGATACAGCGAGTAATGACCTAGCCACATATTGTCTATGTGGTTCAAATATGGCGATTTTGATGACCAAGGTAGCTGCTCATTCCCTTGGTTCTGTAAGTTATCTGCTATTAAAAGTGCTCTGTGTGAACCGGCAATCTCATCGTGCAACCTATAATTGTTCCTAAGGTGCCCCCTATCAAATGATGGTCAAGTGGTTCCCAGAGTATTCCTCTATTTGATCTGGTTCAGGTTTTCATCGATGACTTCCATTAGTGTTTTGGCACCAATGTGGTATCCACTCCAAATAGTGATGCTTCCAATGACCCTAGTCACTTAAAAAGTGGCACACGTCTTGTCGTAGGCCTCTTCAGGATGTCTGTAAACTCTGTTTTGACTATTTTAGCGGTACGGGTGAAATCTGACTTCAATAAAGCAAGCCACGCGATTTCAGTGTTCTACCCAAAAATGGTCAGGGTGCCCAATTCATTAGAGAAACAGACTACGCTGTTTAGCTGTTTACAGTGGCTTCCTCAGAGGTCGCCTGATATCCTAACCTGCTGAAACCATTTTGGTGTTCACTAAGAGCCTTGAAAAAACGCGTTTTGGTGACAATTTGCCCCTCATTCAAAACGGACTGGGTGGTTTCGGTTTAATTGCAGCAGCATATCCTGAAGGACAGTGAGTCCTGTAACCTGGTGGTAAGATGTCGATACATTGGGCGTGGTCTCTGTGTAGGTGCATCAGTCTGGGCATAACCCTATAAAACTGTGCAGACCATTCCGTTTGACACAATAATCTGTCTGGCAATGTCTGTCTTTTTCGCGCCATTCTGGCACAGCTTAACAATTTTAAAAAACACTGCTTAATTCATTTTACGCACTGCAAAACAGACCGTTCGCATGCAAAATTTCAAATTCTTCGATACAGTAGTTGCCGACATATGGATACTTTTTTGACAGAACCATGCTTCATCAAAGCCAAGCTTTGACCAGCCCAAAAGAGCACCAGACAATTAAATCACTGCATATTACACAATGCAGCAGTGCAACAGACTTGGTAGTCAGTTAATTGGTAGAGACACACCTGACTTCATACTTCTCCAGTCAGATATCTTATGTGAGATCTGAGTTTTTTGAAAAAAGAAAGCATTTTTACCTAGGTATACCTTTAAAACTGAAATATTCCATATTAAATGTCAAGTCTGTATATAAAAACAATTTTTGAAAAAGGGCACCACATTTTTAAAATAACATGTATAAAGGTTTTAAGTCTTACCTGCTTTGTCATGAAAAGTAATGTAAGCCACTCCATTTGCTCGATCAACTTTCGTGGTTTCTATAGAACCTCCCCCTGAGCGCTTTCCACTTTCAAAGAACATCTCAATTGTGCTGTCCTGAGTGGTATCCCTGAACCCACGTACTTCTATGGTTTTATGGTAATAATCCCCACTCTTTGCTGTGTATGTAGAAATATCTAGTTTGGCGCCATCTAACTCAAGATCACCTCTGCTCAGTACTGCCTGTGCATCTATTGAAGAAATATTATCTATAATTTTGATGATGCTAATTTTGCCAACTTTCTCTCAAGTTCACAACACTTCATAAATATTTTAAAAGGTTATTTTAAAGCCAAATACATCAGGAAGTTTTTTTTTCCAAGCTTAAGTGTCTCTCACATGGACATGTTGGTAACAAAATAGTATTTTTTAAATTTGAAACAAAAGAAATATTTTCATATTACATACAAATTATATAGTAAAATAAGCGAAGATAAAAGCTGAAAATGAGAAAATACAAATTAATAATAATAAGCAAATTCAAGAAAGAAACATTATTGGAAAATAGTATTCATAATTATTTACGGAAGCCCAATGGTGTCATGTTAAAATAATATTATCTTGAAATTCAGCGGTAGTATCTTGAAATTTCGACATAGTTATCTTGAAATTTTAACATAGCTATCTCACAATTTCAACATAGCTACATGTATCTTGAAATTCAATAAAGTTACATGTATCTCAAAATGTCAAGATTTTTTTAATCGAAATTTTCAAGATGTCGAGAAAATAATTTTTCTAACATGACACCATTCGACTTTTGTAATTATTAACTCAAACACAAAATAAAATTCAAGTTAAATACCTTCTGGATGTCTGAATGTTATATAAGCAACATCCTTCCTTGGCATGTCAAAGGACTCAATTTCACCACCTCCAGAGCGTTTTTTGCTTTCAAAAAACATCCTTATTATTTCACTATCTGTGCCACAGTTAAACCCCTGAATCTGAAGGGTTTTATTCTCTGTTTTAGCTGTTTCTGGCACTGTTTTTAGTTCTGTTTTATCCAGTTGGTTTTCTGTCTCAAGCCCAATGTGAAATGACCCCTGGGTTACAGTCAAAGCAGCACCATCCAACTGGTGGTCACTTTTACTGAGAACTCTCTCTGAAACTATACAAAAATGGACTGGTTTCATGCACAATGTTTGAATTTAAGTTTCACCATTTACTACAATCCAACATATTATTTGCCCTTATTTTTATTTGAAAACCTACACTGCATTGTCTTTTGTTACATGTGTATAAATTTATGTAAAATATAGTAAAATATGCTGCTTTTATCAAGTTACCCAATCTAAAACTTGTTAAACACAATTTTCAACATTGTATAACACAAATTATTATACAGACTTCAATTTAAAAAAATTAAATGACTCTTTTGTAATGTATGATAATTATTTTATTTAAAATTTATTAACTTAAAAGGCTGTTAATAATTTGGATTATACAATGGTACCACTTTTCAAAGTTCCTGAAAACAGTTATATAAGTTTCTTCTCAATCCATAGGGAATGTCAACAAACAAAAATCAAGTTCAATCATACCACAGATGTCATATACATTCTACTAATTAAAATAAACTGTTTCTTCTATAATGGATGGAATTAATCAACATTTCATTAAAATAACTTTTATCTCTATTTCACATAACAAAATTAAACAGAAAATAAATACCTGCAGGATCCTTGTACACAAATCGAGCCACCCTCATCTGTGTGTTGTAATCAAAACTTTTCATGACTCCACCACCAGAAGGAAATTCATTCTCAAAGTACTGCTGTATAGCACCCCTTGTTGTTTGTGGAGTAAATCCCTGTACTGTTATCAGACAGTTGTGCATCTTGAGGTTCCCTAAATTATATATATAAATATTTATAAAACATGTCATTTAAGTGAACGGTCATTGTGATTTTAATGACTAAAAAATTTGCCTTTCTTTAAACATTATATTCAAATATTTAAATAGGTGATGTTATCAGTAATTATCCAGCTCAAAAGTCACAGTTTTTGCAAGTTTACAAATATTTCTGTTTTAATTTGGCCAAATACTAAAGCCAAGTGATATAAAGTGGTTTTCAAAACTTGCAAGCTTATATTGGTTTTTAAGTCTGAAATTATATACAGTGTTATATAATGTCAATGCATGCACCTGTGATGCCTATAGATCTTTTTCTGTTTTGCTTAATATTTGTCCAAAAATACATCCATCCATTCACCAGCATGTCAGCTTGTCCATCAATCCATCCATCAATCTATCTATCCTTATTAATAAACTCATTTTGGCATTTTTCATCAGAATAACTTCTGCATTCATTTAAATATAAATAAAATAAAAATGTCATGATTACATATTACATACCTGTGTCCACTGAATGAGATACAGCTTGATATGGAGGTGGAGGATATGTCGGACCTACAGGTACATTCCAGATAGGGACACCTGTAGGACCAGCTGGTGACTGACCATAGCCATGATAACCGTACCCTGGGCTGTAGACAGGTCCTGATTGTGAGGGGGTAGGTCCCATGTGATATCCCCAAGCACTACGAAAATCTTTAAATGCATGAAATCACCATTAAACAATGCTGTTTTACGGAATGAAATGAAAACACAAACTGAAATTTAAAGCAAAATTGAAAAGAATAAATTAAGATCATATAGACATATAGATCTACAGTACTAGTGTGCATATATGTATGTGAGTGTTTGTGTATTAAAAAGACAGAGAAAAAGAACAAAGATAAATTAAAAAGAATTATTATAAATTATACACTTTTCCGTACTACATGTACATGTACCTCCTGCAGCTGGAGATGCCAAGGTTGGTGCAGCATAATCAGGCCCCCATGCATACTTTGGTTGACTTCGAGTAGGATCAAAGGGAGCACTGAAGGAAGCAGGGTTACCTTTTTCTAAGTGAGATGATTGATGTTCCATTTCCTGAAATAAATTATCCATACAACAGGCATGGGAATCGGATGTTTCATGGAAAAATCAAGATATTTTCAAATGCCAATTAACTGCGTATGTACTTTGTATTAAAATGAATGAATCTGTTGAACAGCTGACTGTCAACATTGTTGAAACCAAAAAGAAAAAGATGTACATTAGGCATGAGTAACAGTATTATTGCTTACTATTAAAAAACAAAATTGACTTGCACCTTTTTTTCCTCTATTTCCTGGATCGTTTTTATTGCCAGATCTTCTGGGCATTCTGTCAGACTAGTAAATAAATGTCTACCCTCCATTGGGTGCTGAAGGTGTCTTTGTAAAATATTCTCTCTCACTGTAATTGAAATAAAAAGAGGCATATATGTACTGTAGGTACAGTGTATATGGCAATGTTTTTTATCATGTTTACCGGTAGTTACCAGCTAAACAAGATGTACTACACTACAGGGAATGGGAATACAAAATGCAGATTAAAAAAAAATAATTAGTGAATTTCTCCATCTTGTCCAGAATATTTTTTTATTTAAATCTTTAAAAGAGAATATATCCTCCTCAAAGAAAAGTTACCATCCTTCGCAATATCTTAAAATACACTGTAGTTTGTGCTCAACCGGGTACTTAGGAATGTTGAGCAGAATTAATGTGCAAACAATGCCTCGGCATTTGACCTAATACAGGTAAAGCTGACTATTATTCGAGGTAATTGTATAAAATTGATTCAAACTACATCTACCATTTTGAACAGCGCGTTCACGTGTAATATACAACTGCACCGGTACGTGTGTTTGCTTGTCCGATCCATACACAAAAAAAATAGAATTGCAAAAATACTATATATGTGTATTATAGTCTACGAAAACAGCCATTACCATGCTTGTCACTGAATATGACCACTGCCTCTTTCTCTTTAGTACGTACAACATGGCGGACTTCACCTCCGCCCAAGCGACGGCATTCTTCCTGAATAAAATCGAGCAGAGACTCCGGGCTGGTGTCCACGGAAACCCCGCTTACGCGGAGACAGCATTCAGACACAACTCCAGCGTCAGTATTCGTCTCCATCAGGTCGAATTTTTCATCTTTTTTCACTTTGAGCAAAGATGCTCGCATTACACGTAAGAAAAATTCCCAATAATTTTACCCAGCGTGTACTTTCGATTTGTGCAGTCACGAGGCTGATAAAACCGGGGATTCCCCTGGTGACGTCAATCTCTACCATATTTTAACCAATGACCAAAGCGAACGAAACGTCATCGCTTGTTATAACTTTATTTGTAATTGCGGAGTTTCCAGTTAAGTGTCAATTTGCTTTAGCTGTTATAGAATTTGACAAGATTTCCAGAGACCCTTGAGAACGGATAGGCTAGGTATGTTGCTGCTGTATTTATTAGTTGAATTTAGGGAGCTGCTTATTTGAAAAAATCCTACTTTATGTCTATTATTTGGGATATCCAGGGTATCATGCAATCACCTGACGTGACGGCAAACAGAAAGTCAAACTGGCCACCATATTATCCCTTATGAAATGGGCTACGAAAGTTAAGAGGGTTCTGCACCAGTCAGAATTATCAGAATTATAAGGTTGGAGAAAGTTATTGTAGCGAGGGTCCAAGCAAGTTACAGTACTACTTGCTGTTGGGGAAGGGGGTGGGGTGGATACAAAGTTTAAGTTTCATAATGTGAATATGCGTTTCAATACGTGATAGTTCTTGTGCCATGTACAGTTTTGCATGCCAAGGATTAATTAAAACAAATTGTGTTGTTATGTATTTTAGGAGAAAGAATGGAGCCTGAGGATTCTAAAAATCAAGTATGTCACAAAAGCAACAAGTCCATTCTGGTGTTGGGTCTACCAAAGGCCATTACAGGGCAAAAGATAAAAATACACTTCCAGAAAAAGGGAAATGGTGGAGGTGATGTTACCTCAGTTATTTACCCATTTCACAAGCAAGCAAATGCTGCTGTTGTAACATTTGTCAGGGGTGAAGGTAAGCATTCAGAACTATTTGCCAGAGATCAAAAGGTCTTTTGTCACAAACTAAGAAAAAAAAAACTAGTCACTCATGATGATGATTCCTATCTTATCCCTTCCTATGTCCTATATCCCAGCAGGCATAGTTGCGTTGGGTCAACGTTGAAAACAGGTTGATACGTTGAATTGCCGTTGATCTACCTAAATTCAAAGTTAAATCAACGTTGATCCAGCCACGTTGAAACACCATCATAATGTGACGTTGACTCAACGTTGTATTTTGGTCAATGACACAACCTTGCAGTTATGGATTGTAATTTAAAATATTAATTATTGATAACGTGATACTTTGTTTATCAATACTGTAACTAAATTTATCAATATAATAACAAAAGGGGTTTAAAGTAAAAGTGACAGTTGTTTTGTGTCTTTAGTTAACTAGTGGATTTTCTTAACTTGTTATTCAGAAATACATTCCAATAAACTGAAATACTTGCAAGGTCAGCTAACACTAGGATGAATAAGTTGCTGTAAATGTGATGGAGTTAACAGTTCTTGGTAACCTGTTATAGATAAGTTGAGGTGACTGTGACTTTGTTATATATATATATATATATATATATATATATATATAAAACCTTGGAAATTTTAACTTAAAGGCCACACATTTATACTTTACATATATTTAGCCATCAAACATGTCCTACTGCTAAACACATCCAGGCTTATTTCCCGCTGGGTGGGGTTGGTATAACATTGTTTTCTGACGTTGATACAACGTTATTTTCTGAGGTTGACACAACATTCAAATCCAACGTTTATCCAATGTCTACTCAACATTATGGTTCAACGTTGTTTCAACATTAAAACAACATAATTTGCTCCCTGGGATCCCTTTTCAATGCAATTGATGTAGAAATCCAATAAATTATTTTCTTCAAACTTACTGAAATGATTCTAAGCACTTAAATTACATTTGAAGTGCTCATAAATTCCCTACAATACATATAGATTACTTCAACTTGTTTCTTGTGTCTTAGTACAAGGGTCAAATATGGTGACCCACTACAAAGCTTGCTGTCTAATCTGATAATAGACACTGAATAGATATCACCCAGATAGCAAACAGTGGTCGCGCCAACGTTGGCCCGATGACTTTGCCTCTGTCGAGCCAACATTGGCAGACGACGTTGGTTCGAAGTCAGCGTGTCCGGCGGTGGTCTGCCACCGGTGGTCTGCCACCCTTTTGCCAACGCCGCACCGACGGTCAGCCACTGTTATGCCGGCCATGCCGACCTTTTGCCGATGTCATGCCAACATTGAGCCAATGTCGTAACTATCAGTGGTTAGCCGCTGTTATGCCAACAGTGCCACTCTCTTGCCAACTTCGCACCAACGTCGTTAACCATTGTTTTACCGCCGTTTTGCAAATAATGCCGTTCTTTAATTGGCCAACGTTATTATGGACTCTCTATGGTCAGCCAGCTATGACTCAATTGGCGGATGTTGACAATAGGGTAGCAGTGGTATTTCGTTGTGATAACCCTCTCACTTAAGTGAAAATCTCCTGTATGCCTAAAATAAGAATGACAATGTGAATCACGTTTTGTGAAGAAACATGTTTATAAATCTAAATTAGTTATCTACATATTATTAATGTCTATTTATTCTTTTCCAGAATTAATGAAGACTAGAGCACGGTGGTTTACTCAGTATAATGATAAGGCAATTAAGATTTACGTCACTTATCAGTTATTAATATCGGTTATTCTGGGCGCGTATTGGGAGTTAAAAAATTTATAATCCAAATCGCTCTAATGCAACTAACTCCAATCCTCCTTTAGGTACTGAGTTCCAACTATCGGAGTGATCCATGATATTTGTGGAATATTTCTCAAAAGCAATTAAAACTGTAAACGTAATTCTGACATTGCTATCAGTTATCATATCGTTAACCCGTCTCATTCCGTATTGCCGGCACATTGGCGACAGTTAATAAGATCTGCTGCTACACTTGATCCACGTACAATTTCCATCTGAGGAGACAAGGGTATTTGTGCCTGCTGTGTCTGGGCTGCTTCTCTCTCTGTAAAGAGAATAGAAATAATTAGAAAAACTCAAACTTAAAGGGATAATAACTCATCGTATGAGATCTATATTTCACAATAAAAACATTGTGAATAACTCATAGAAATATAATATATTCTGTTTTACCACAAAAATGGCAGTTATAGCTATTATTCTGATATCTGAGCTTGTCTTTAGACCAGGTGACCTCCATTGATGGCTATACTCTGTTAAAATCTCTTAAGAGATTTTAACAAAAAACCAAACTTTTTAGAAAAAAAAACAGGGACTAACTTTGAATGTAAATATGGATTCATTAACCATTGGTAAGTATGGGAAAATTGTTGTTTACTCCAGGAAAATTCTTTTTTTTTTTTTTTTTTTTTGCCGAAACAAAGAGTTATTATCCCTTTAATTTAATGAAAGGTACTTAAATTCATTGTTAAAAAACGGTATGATACTGCAAGCATGGATTTTGTATGCGTTCCATGTTTCTTCAACTATTTTTTCTATTTACAATCTGAAATGTTCTAAATTTTAAAGGTCAGTTTTGTACATTCGATTTTGCCAGCAACGAATCATCAATCTATGTTTCTCTTTCATATTATTGAATCGTACAACTGGCACAGATGGGCAAAATTTGACTATTATTTCCTAGTTTGCATCCAATCCAATCCAATCCACCCTTATTCGTAATGTTGCATACTAAAATCAATTTGTTAACTATACTTTGCAATGTAGACGAAATAATGTGATTATATTCCAGGGAAGTGGTTCCTTCTCCTAAATATATTACCTTTTTTTTCTCTCCAGCCTCTTCCTCCTCCATCAATCCTGATCACTGAGATATTTAAGTCATTTCTAAATGGCCTCCTCGGTCTGTGCCTCTGTTCTGGGATTTTGCAGCATCTGAATTGAAAATGAAAAATATTACTATCAGTATGTTAATGTAGAATAAATATTTTTACTTTTTGCAAACTTCAACTTAATACTTAACATAAATAAATTAGTTATCAGACTTGTTTGCTTTTCTTGTATTTTGGTGAACAGTGAATTGTATAAGGGTCATTTCCTGGTACTTGTAAATCCTTCTTTATACATGTAGTTCTTACCCGATGCCCACATGTGTGTTTTAGGCATATCAGTTACTATTTACAGGAATTTTATACAAACCTTTCACGTCTTTGGTTAGACAGAGACAAGCCAATGAGGGTCCCCCCCTTGCCAAGCCTGGTGAATGAACATTGGCAGAGAGGTTGGCAACCTCCTTAGCACTAAATCCCCTCAGGCTGGTCAGGTACTTCAGCAGTGAAATAAAAAAAGATCAGTAACTCATTTTGATGGACATTTTATAGGCATCATAAATTTAAAAAATCATAACCCAACGTCGCACTGACGTTGGCTTAAGTGTGGCACATAGCGCATCAACTACATGCATGCACCTAGGGTCACTGTATATCATAACTTTAACCTGTGTTAGACTCATGTCTCTCAATAAGTTTACATTTAAGTGAAAGTTCATTCGATATAGCGTCTCCTTGAACGTATGCAGCTGGTACTTGTATTGTATATTATTTTACTGCATTCCAGCTAGTTGGTCCTAATATCGACGGTGTATTCCAAAGTACAAACAAAAATACTAGAGAGTGCCCTAATTCATTCTTATAAAATGCAATGCACAAAATAATTTGAGTGGGAAAAAAGGTTTTTGACCGCCGGTAACCCAACGTTGCACCAACGTTGGCTCAGAGGTGGCACGTATCGCGCCAACTGCCTGCAGCTACGATAAACAAATTATAGACAGGTTTGCTTGTTTCTTTAAATCATCTACAAAAAATAAATCTCTACCTATAGTTCGAAAAATATAAACACTGTAAAGTAAATACTTACCTAACAAGTGTGATCAAAGCAGTCGTTGGCCCAACGTCAGGCCACCAGTAGTGGCCCGACTGCCACAGTGCCAAACTATGCCGACGTCGGCGCGACCGCTTCTTGCTATCTGGGCACATGGGGAAGTATTCAAGTGGGTGGGCCATATTTGACCGTGCAACTATAGTTAGTCCCCTATTCTGAATGAAGCCTTATACAACTTAATGTACCACCAGCATTTTTTTATTTTTTATTTTGCATTTTACAGAGCTTGTCAAGTGCAACACTTGAAGTGGTGTCCATTTTTTCGTTTACCATACCATTTACAATTTGCGCTATATATCAAAGAGTACAACGTTGCAATATTCAGTGGTGAAAATAAAACGGGGAAATAACTCCAAAATTAGCAGAGATGCACCCTTAGTTACTTTTTGACATGAATTGCACTTCACAAATTTGGAATAAAACTAATTTAAATTTTTACCTATGATTTTGTTTTAAATGGTAATTTTCAACAAAAATATTGAGAACTTTTGTTTACTGCATTTTGTAGAGCTTGTCAAGCTCAACACTGGAGGTGGTGTTCCTTTTTCTGCTTTTCCATGTGAATGCACTTACTCCAGCTGGTGGTACAATACCCGGAGGCAGTATCGCCTGTCTTATTTCTTGTTATCAACTCAGTTATGATAATTTGTAAATGCCTTTTAAAGTGTAATTTTTTGTTTTTTAGTTTTGGAAACCATTTTCAAGTATCACCATACAATCTTAGAGACCCCTGTTCAGATTCACCATTTCCAACAGGTAATTTATTAGAATTATGATAAACTTTGTTTTCATACAGTACAAACTGAGTCGCCCACTGTATGCAGCATACAAGAGTGTTATTGGCCAAGTGTATCTGTGATACAGTTACACTCTTGACTGTCACATACAGTAGATGATGAGTAGTTACTGTACATAGTAACTGACTTATCCCACCACTGGCATTTGCATCAGTAGAAAAATTGCACCTGTATTTCTCTTAGAAGGTACTGAAGCATGCACTAAATAATGCACCGTCCACGAGCCTGATATAAATATAATAGAATGGCGTGCGACAGCGAGGCATACTATTGTGTATATCAGGTGAGGGGGTAACAGTGCATTATTTGTCATATATACAAAGGGAAATTGTGCATGCTCCCCACTCAAAACCCCTAACTTTGAATAGAACACGCTGATATCACCGTGCTTAGGGTGATATCAAAGAATGGACTTTCCCTGAAAGTTTCTGTCCCATTATATTCACCGTCCAATCATTTTCACTTGTGTGAATGGTTTGTGGTTGCATGTGTATTGGCAGAGACATGGGCATTTGGTTTTCCGTGAGTAGTTTTCTTTTTTCCTGCCTATCTCCCGCACGTGGCAGTCAATTCCTCTCATTCATTGTTTGGCAAAGCCAAATGACAGAGCAACATTCCAGAAGTGGACAAGCAGTCAAGTTTTGTACATTTTTCCGACGTATCTTATGACAAACTTCTAATGGCAAGTCAAAAGGCAGAAAAAAAAATATGGACAATACGAACGAAGCAGCAGTTTTCTGATATATTGGAGGATGAACTAATTAGCACAAGTCAAAAGGCAGAGAAATCTCATTTTGAAACTGTGCAACAATATTCTGACATTTCGAACGACCAATTTATTAAGCACAAGCCAAAAGGCAGAAATGTATTATTTAGATGCAAAACAGCAGTAGCAGCAGGCTTTCTCGGCTGAGGTGAAGGTGCGTATAACAAAATACACATTATTCATTTATATATTTTTCTTTTCCATATGTATTACCACTACATAATGATAGGACACAATGCATACAATGTATGTACCCAGACATTTGATTATGAACGGATGAGATTCAGTGCTTTTGAAAAATGTGAAAATTAACATATTTGGCAAAATGTCTTCTCTTATAATATTATTCTGTTTTTAGGAGGGGAATGGCAGTAAAAGGTTAGCTTTACCAGCAACAGATGAGGAAATGGAGCTATGCTCAAAAGCAAGCTTATCTTAGAAAACTTTGGGTCATAACATGTGAGCACTCAATACATGGCACAAAACAACACACCGTTGCCAAGGAAACAACATTGCCATTAATAGATGGAATAAAATACTGAAACCACTGACAAATCTCTCTGACAAAGAACTTCAGTACTGGATATCTAATTAATGGGAGTGATGATGGTCCAACACAGCCGAAAATATGCACTCAGACGTCAGTGTAGATGAAAGTGAAACACCAACAGATTCCTCTTTCAGTAGATTAACTGATTTAACAAAACAGCCATTTGTATTTCAAAACTGCACTTTCCAATTTCATTAAAATATAAATTAAATGCCTGATGTTGTGTCTTTCTTGTTTTTCTTTTTCATTGACCATTTGTGTAAAATCCAAGGAAAATGGAGATATCAAGTTTTTTTCGCGGATTTTACTGGGTCCCTGCGAGACGTGCTATCATAAAGAGCGAGTGAAGTGAGCACTTTATGATAGCGGGTCGAGTGAACCGTTTGAATTGTTTGTGTGAACTGAACCATGTTACTGCTATTGAGCGGGCAGTAACAATGATATCGGTCCCTGCAATCCTTTTGTTTTAATATCAATCCTGTGGTATGTATATTTAAATACAGTTAAATGTGTGCCTTTTGTAATTGAAATACAAGTGCAATTTTTCTGTTCGAAGTGCAAGTTGTGGAATATAATGTAGGATTTTCTTGGTAGTATATTATAAAAATAAGAGTGTATCAGATACCACATTAATGGGAACACTCTTAGCATTAATTTTATTTTCCCCCAGTTGATCTTTTGTAAAGTTACATTGCATAATTATAAAAATGTGATGACTTGAAAACTTAGATAGAAGATAAATTTCCCTTATTTCTGTGTGGATAGCCTGCTCTAATCTCTCAGATGCCTGTGACAGCCACAAGATTCCTTGTCAAAATTGAGCTTTACAACAGAAATAGATTGTGTATATAATATGGCATTAAACTGTAAAAGCAGAAATAGTGTCCGACAATTTGGCACTGGAATGAAACGAAAAATTATTTTTGAGGAAAGAAAAATAATTGTTTTTCTCTGTCACATCCAAAAAATAATTATTTCATCATACGACCTCTCACATGGCTGTAAGACCACATTCAGATTCACATATCTTGCTCTCTGAGTGGGTCAAACTCTACAGGTGATGCATCCTAATAGGGAAATCAGTGGAGTCAGCTTTTATTGTCAAACATGCCTCCTTGAGCAGCAGCTAGGGTTTTTTTTAACTATTGCTGATTAAGCTGATCACTGATTGCACTTTAGTGAGTATGTTGTATACCCAGCAGAGTTGGACTGAAAATGAATTCTGAATTCTCCTCAATATATCACATTAGATTTTAAAGATGTATTGTGTTACAGTAATGGAAATATAATGTTAGATATTGTGTGTTCATGCACTTTCAGGTATTCTCTGAAGTTCAAGCCATAATTGATTGTGAATCACCCATTGCTGACCAACTACTTGATGTCCTCAATTCATCTTCTCAAAATTTACATGAAGAAAGTTGTGTTAAAGTGATACTTGAGAAAGGCAGTAGGAAATTGATAGGGAATTGGTATCAAGTGAGAAATGCCCACCAATATCTGTGGAAGAAATATCTTGAGAGTCTTCAGTTAAAGGCCTGTCCGAAAGAAGAAAAAAGCTGTGAGGTTCACACTCCTTTATATGGTCAGAATGGAGAGTCAGTTGATGTGGCATCCCAACCTAACACAAGGCTACAGGACCAAGGGCATCATCTAGAGCAAAACTCACATGTTCACCAACAACAATATCAAGATCCTAACTGTGAGGACAAGGCTCCACCTGAGAAAGATGAGACCCAGTCTGCTGATGGAAATGTTAATGGTGGAACTTATATTTCTGAAGCAGTGCCAGGTCTTAATGAAGAGACCCATGCATATGTGATGTGGAAACACCAGGATAATCTCTCTTTGACTAATGGAGATATAGACATTAGAGGGAAACTTACTGAAGATGGCGAATACCAAGTCCTAGTAGGTGCAAGAAGTTGGGCTGACTTGGACAAGGCCCGTGATGCATATGTTGAATGTTATCAAAAGACATATGGGTCTGTTAGAACCGAGAAAGTCCATGTTCACAAAACTACTACAAGAGAGCAGTGTGAAGTTATCATTCAGGAGTTGATGAAGAGTTTTCAGGATGCACTCATCAGCTATGACCCTGATAAGCATGAGTTCATCATTACTGCACCTTTCCAAAATATAGACAGTCTGAAAAATAAAATAGAGATGTTTTCTGTGAATGGGAGTCAAGTGCAAAAGAAAAATCGCAGGAAGTTGTCCGAAGATCCATCTTTTCCTCCAAATTCTGAAAATATTATCACAAAGAGAGGACTGATGATACACATTTACCAAGGTGACATTACAACCAGCAATGTGACAGCCATTGTAAATGCTGCCAACGAAAGACTTAAGCATGGGGGAGGAGTGGCAAGGGCCATCAAGGATGCTGCTGGGAAAGACTTCGACCACCAGTGTCAAGAAGCATTGAAGGAAAAGGGCTCATTTGGGGTTACAGATGTGTTGCACACATCCACTGGGGGAGAGGGATCCCAATTGAAGTGCAGTTATGTCTTGCATGCAGTGGGCCCTCAATGGCATGACTACGTGGAGAAAGAAAGATGTGCTATTGAACTGCGGTGGACATTTTACAATTGCCTGAAGTATGCAGGGGACCCAGATACTATTGGCGCAGAATCTGTGGCCATTCCGGCCATAAGTTCAGGTGAGTATTAAACTTGACACTACTGGCACTTACCAATTCTGAAATTTCCTTAGTTCATTATGGGGTTCATCATCACTTTTTTTTTTTTTTTTTTTGGGGGGGGGGGGGGGGGGGGAGGAGCAGGAGGTTATCTTATCTGCTATAGTTCTCCCAGTTAGGCAGGGTATTGCATTAAAAAAGATTTTAGGATGGTTGGCACTTTTTTTTTGTATTACTCCATATAAAAATTAAAACTTGCTAAGTTTTGTTCCACTCTCAATTATTCCCATACTGTTACACACACCTGCAGGGCTGTTGTTATACCTTTAAAATTTCTTATAGCATTATTTAATGTCTTATATATATAAATTAATTTTATGTTACAAATTACAGGGATTTTTGGAGTCCCCAAGCAGACAGTAGCACAGGCACTGCTTGAAGCTGTTTTGGATTTTGATAGAGAACTCAAGCAGAAAAGCACTCTTCAAGAAATCCACCTGGTTAACATCGCTCCTGACATAACTCATTTGATCACAAAGAAATTTGTCAAGATTGGTGCCCCATACTGGAAGAACAAGGCTTATTCTGAACCTTTGGCTGCACAGAATAGTTTCTTTGAAATGGGAGTTGAAGCAATGGAAGTTGAATATGTTAAGGATGTTAAGTATCCTCCAGGTTATGGTACAGGCAATGACACCTGGAACCACCCCCCACCAAGTGCCTACAAGAATCAAGCAGCTAACATAGCCAGTAAAACCCTACCTGGAGTTCAAGATCATGAAAGTTTTGAGGGGGCAACTGCTAGCAACAAAGATGAGGGAACAAATGTAGATGCTTGCATCATTTGTATGGATGCAATGATCAATCCAAAGCGCCTTGAGAAATGTGGCCATGTCTTTTGCACCAGCTGCATTGACAAGTCATTTAGGCTGAATAAGCCTGTCTGCCCAACCTGTGGAACCGTTTATGGAGTGATAAAGGGCAACCAGCCTCCTGGGGAAATGCGAGACAGAATTTTGCATTCCAGCCTGCCAGGACATACACGCTATGGCACAATAATGATAACTTATTCTTTTAAGGATGGAAAACAGGGGGTAAATTTTTTTTTTTTTTTTTCGAAAATTGATTTTATTGACAAATCATAGTACTTGAATAATATACTTTTAAATATGTTATTAAAATATGTAATGCTTCTTGCGTTAGAGAATTTTAATCTTGTGTTCCAATGAACTTTTGCCTAAAAGATACCTGTATCGTTTTAGGAAGATCACCCTCATCCAGGCACTTGGTACAGAGGTATCACATGTGTGGCTTACCTGCCAGATTCACCAGAAGGGAGGAAGGTACTAAGACTGCTGCGCAAGGCATTTGATAACAAAGTGGTGTTTACCATTGAAAGGTCCACTACCATTGGCAAAGAAGGGCAGATAACATGGAATGATATCCACCATAAGACTAGCCAGTATGGTGGACCTACAAAGTAAGATTTAAGATTACATGACATTTTCCATAATTGACACAATTTGCCCCAATTTCTAGAATGTAAGAGAAATCACCCAATCATGCTATCCCAAAATGTTATCAGCAATGCTACGAGGAGCATTCTTAAGCTTACACAGGGTTCATGATTAAGATCAGGTCAAATTAAGATCAAATGTTTGGACATTCATGTTGTACAGGTGTATATGTTCTAAAACATAAACAGTTAATTTTCACTCATAATATTTTACATGTACAATATAAGCTTATATGTGAAATACTTATTATAACTACTTGCTAACAGGTATTCATTGTCACAAAATATTATATAATATATATATAGTATATTTCCTTTCATATCTATCATATTTGCCTTTATTTTTAAAACCTGCTGTGGCTAATTTACTTAGTGATACTCGAACTCAGGATGAAACAACTCCAAGGAAGGGCTTGACTACAGCAACTAACTTTATTTCTAAGTGTGCAGATATAAATACATTGTGTCTACAGTTCAGAGGGATCACTGCTGTCAAGTGTGTTTATACTACGTACATTAGTGAGAGTGCTATTTAATGATAATTGATGACAGAGGGTTGGGGTTACTATAAGCTTGACCGATAGTGTTAAGAACCATAACATCCCCTTCTTCCTTTAGAAAAGATAATCGGTGCTAAATCAAGGGTTGATAGTGGCAACACAGAATAAATGTCTTTTTGATTTCTTGAGTAATACCTTGTGCAAGAGAAGTCTCACATGTGAAGCATGTAGTTTAAGTGAGTAAAATAAAGTAAATACATTGATAAATAAAATCCTAGCTAGTAGAGCTATATGACATTGTACNGGGGTTAGAGGGTAATTTTTATCATTATTTGTTTTTTTTAGTTATGGACACCATTTTCCAGCATACACATACTATCTGTGAGACCCTTGTTCAGATTCATCATTTTCCACAGGTAACTAATTACTCAGTAGAATTTTGTGAAACTTACTTTTATGGATGGCAAGATTAAGTACTAGTTGCTGCACAAGTTGTCCACTTTTGGATATACAAGAGCATATAATATTTGAGGTGTAGCTGCGATACAGTTATTCTTGTCTATCACATACAGTAGAGGATGAGTAGTAGTATAACTGACTTTCCCAATTGGATTAAGAAGATGATTGCACTTGTATTTCACTTGAAATGCACTGAAGACTATAAAAATATAATCAAGCCAGAGCCTCTTCTAAGAATGATACAAGTGCAATCCTTTTGTCCAAAGTGCATGTCATGGAATAAGATACAATATTTCCATGGTAAAATTTTATCTGCATAAAAATGTATTTTTATGATACCACACAGTGAACATTACTAGAGCGAATATATTTTCCCTTGGTTCATTTTCTTTTGAAAGGTTAAATAAGTACATGTACAAATAATGCTGCACAGTTGCCATCAATTCTATGGAAATGTGAAGACTTGAGAATTATTACTATTTTGAAGTAATTTACCAAATTTCCATATAGATAGCCTACTCTAATGTCCTAGTGAACTGCTACAGACCCCAGATATCTTATAACAAAATTAAAATGTGTATAATAAAGTTTTAAGTTGTAAAATTAATTTTTAAAAATTTTTTTGCACTAGAATTGCTTGAAAATTTTATTTAGATAAAATAGGTCTTGTCAATTACTGTATTTTCATCTGTCACATTCCAAAATTTATTACTTCATTACGTCACTTGACCATATAAATATGTCATTTAAGATTATACTAATGGTAAGGTGAAATAGAAATAGTTGTAGGTATTATTATACTTATGCACTTTCAGGTATTTTGTGGAGTGCAAGCCATAGTTGACCCACCCATTGCTGCCCAACTACTTGATGAAACCAAATCAACCTTACACAATTTAGAGCAAGAATGTTGTGTTACAGTAATAAATGAGGCAGGGAGTATAAGATTGAAAGGGAATTGGTATCAAGTGCAAAATGGTCGCGAATATCTGTTGAAAAAATATATTGAGAGTTTGCAGCAAGAGGCTTCTCCAAATGAAGAAGAAAGCTCAGAAGTTCACACCCCTTTGCAAGAAAATAAAGGAAAATCAGTTGATGTTGAATCCCAACCAAGTACAGTGTTACAGAACCAAGTGCATCATCTAGAGCAAAACTCAAATGTTCACCAACAACAACATCAAGACCCTAACCGTGAGGACAAGGCTCCACCTGTGAAAGATGAGACCCAGTCTGCTGATGGAAATGTTAATGGTGGAACTTATATTTCTGAAGTAATGCCAGGTCTTAATGAAGAGACCCATGCATATGTGATGTGGAAACTTCAGAAGAAACTCTCTTTGACTGATGGAGATATAGGCATTAAAGGGAAACTTACTAAAGATGGTGAATACCAAGTCATAGTGGGTGCAAGAAGTCAGGCTGACTTGGACAAGGTACATGATGCATATGTTGAATGTTATCAAAAGACATATGGCTCTGTTAGAACGGAGAAAGTCCATGTTCCCCAGATCACTACAAAAGAGCAGTGTGAAGTTATCGTTCAGGAGTTGATGAAGAGTTCTCAGGATGCACTCATCAGCTATGACCCTGATAAGCATGAGTTCATCATTACTGCACCTTTGCAAAATATAGACAGTTTGAAAAATGAAATAGAGATGCATTGTTTTTCTGTGAATGGGAGTCAAGTGCATAGGCGAAATCGCAGGAAGTTGGCCGAAGCTCCATCTTTTCCTCCAAATTCTGAAAATTTTATAACAAAGAGAGGACTGATGATACACATTTACCAAGGTGACATTACAACCAGCAATGTGACAGCCATTGTTAATGCTGCCAACGAAAGACTTCAGCATGGGGGAGGAGTGGCAAAAGCCATCAAGGATGCTGCTGGGAAAGACTTCGACCACCAGTGTCAAATAGCATTGATAGAAAAGGGTTCATTTGGGGTTACAGATGTGTTGCACACATCCACTGGAGGAGAGGGATCCCGATTGAAGTGTAAATATGTTTTACATGCAGTGGGTCCACAATGGGATCACTACACCGAGAAAGAAGGATGTGCTATTGAACTGCGGTGGACATTTTACAATTGCCTGAAGTATGCAGGGGACCCAGATATTGTTGGTGCAGAATCTGTGGCCATTCCAGCCATAAGTTCAGGTGAGTATTAAACTTGTCACTACTGGTATTTAGCAATTCTGAAATTACCATGATTTCATAGTTCATCATGGGGTTCATTCTATCACCCATGTTTTTTATTTTTTTATTTTTCTTCGGGGGGGTGGGGGGTGGGGGGGGGATGAAAGGAGGAGCAGAAGGTCAACTTATCTGCTATAGGCCTCCAAGTTGAGGCAGAATATGGCAATAAAAAGATAAACTGATATTAGGATGATTGGCACTTTTTTTTGTATTTCTCCATATAAAAAAATTGAAGCTTGCAAAATTTTGTTCCTGCTACGTACATTGCTGGTTGTAATGTCAGTTATTCCCATACTGTTACACACACCTGCATGGCTGCATGTTTTTGTACCTTTCTTATAGCAATATTTAATGTCATATACATACTTTTAATATAGAATTAATTTTATGTCACAAATTACAGGGATTTTTGGAGTCCCCAAGCAGACCGTAGCACAGGCACTACTTGAAGCTGTTTTGGATTTTGATAGAGAACTCAAGCAGCACAGCACTCTTCAAGAAATCCACCTGGTTAACATTGCTTCTGACATAACTTATTTGATCACAAAGAAATTTGTCAAGATTGGTGCCCCATACTGGAAGGACAATGCTTATTCTCAACCTTTGGCTGCACAGAATAGTTTCTTTGAAATGGGAGTTGAAGCAATGGAAGTCGAATATGTTAAGGATGTTAAGTATCCTCCAGGTTATGGTACAGGCAATGACACCTGGAACCACCCCCCATCAGGTGCCTACAAGAATCAAGCAGCTAACATAGCCAGTAAAACCCTACCTGGAGGTCAAGACCATGAAAGTTTTGAGGGGGCAGCTGCTAGCAACAAAGATGAGGGAACAAATGTAGATGCTTGCGTCATTTGTATGGATCCAATGGTCAACCCAAAGCGCCTTGAGAAATGTGGCCATGTCTTTTGCACCAGCTGCATTGACAAGTCATTTAGGCTGAGTAAACCTGTCTGCCCAACCTGTGGAACTGTTTATGGAGTGATAAAGGGTAACCAGCCTCCTGGGGAAATGCGAGACAGAACTTTGCGTTCCAGCCTGCCAGGACATCCAGACTGTTGCACAATAGAGATAACTTATTCTTTTAGGGGTGGAATACAGGGGGTAAGTACTCATTTTTTCAGAAATAAATTTAATTGACAAATCATAGTGCTGGAATTATATACTTGTGATTATATGTTATTAAAGTATGTAATACTTCTTGCATTAGAGAATATAATATTTTGGTCCAATGAACTTTTGCCTAAAAGATACATATATTATTTTAGGAGGACCACCCTACTCCAGGTACTTGGTATGGAGGTATCAGACGTTCTGCTTACTTGCCAGATTCTCTGGAAGGCAGAAAGGTACTGAAACTGCTGCGCAAGGCATTTGATAACAAAGTGGTGTTTACTGTTGGAAGGTCCACTACCACTGGCAAAGAAGGGCAGATAACATGGAATGATATTCACCATAAGACTAACCAGTATGGCGGACCTACAAAGTAAGATTTCAGATTACATGACATTTTTCATGCTTGACATATAGTTTTGCCCTGATATCTAGAATCTAAGAGAAAATCACTCATGTTATCAGCAATCCCATGAGGAGTATTCTTAAGTTTACACTGGATTCATGATTAAGATCAGGTCAAATGATGGACATTCATAGGATGGGCTGTCCAAGTACTGATCTAAATGTGTTAATTGTACCACCAGCGTTAGCGCTGGCGGTACACATGGTTTTAGTCCCGTCCGTTCCGTTCCGCCGGCTCCTGCGGCTCCGCCGGCTCCGCCGCCATGTTACCGTTACCGCTTCTCCTCCTAGACGGTAAGGGCCCCCATACCCTTCTCTTGGATTTAGGTCACCTATAATCTCAACTCATTCCACGTAAAATTTGGGCTTTGTCGGTATTGGGGTTTAGGTGTGGCATTCATTGCAATGCACCCTTGTCCAAAAATGGCAAAATTAAATGCTAATTATC